GAGTTCCCATCATATGCCCTCATTTTAAAAGCAGCTGAGGCTCAGAGAGCTTAAGTAACTGTCCAAGGCTTCACATGTGGTTATAGCAAATGGACCTGCCTCTGCTTCTTCCTACTGCTGATGGTGTGCTCCAGGGTTGAAAGTACAAGTTAACAGAATAGCCGGTTAGAATAGAATGGCTAACAGAATGTAAACCACCTTTGGTTCTCAGGAGAAAACCCAGCACAGACACCCCTGGACCTCTCCCCAGTCAGGGCTCTGTGCGCCTACGTACCCAGCAGTCTATACAGCAGGTTCAGAATTTCTTTCCAGGCCATCCCACTCTCTTCCCTTACGATCCCTGCAAAGTGCACGACACTGTTGTAGATATTTAGGCGATCAATGCAGTTTAAGACAAGGGCCAACATTCCCTGAGGAAGAAAGGTGGGGAAAGGTGAACATCCCAGTTTAAAAATCACATCAAACCCAAACAAACACAGGATTCCCTTCTGCTCTTTCATCCCCCAAAGCATTCACCTTTGAAAACTGATAATGCCAATATGCAGACTTCCATGCTGTCAGTTGGTTGTTGTTGTTTTACCCCTTTCTAAAGACAAAATATGCACCCTCATGCCTCAGAGACTTAAATAGCCTCCCTTCGAGGAGTGAGTCAGCAATCTCTTTGGACAGGTTTGGCCCCACATGTTTAGCTCAATACACAGACATACTGAGGAAGAGAGAGCGGGAATGAGTCTCACAAGGCAGCTTTCTGTCTGGTGCGAGATGGCTCTGACTCATGCAGCAACAACCCTGGGTGCAGTACTTTTTTTTTCCATTACATCTCCAGTAAGCTCAAGAAATTCCATTCTAATGCAGATATAGAGATGATACAACCACAGACGATTTCTAACTATGACCCCAGCTAAGTGACAATCCTATACCACTCAGCAGAATGTCGGTTCTCAGTAGAATAGCTTCAAGAGTAGGAGAGGGGATAGTAAATGTGGAATTTTCGTAGCCCGTGAGACAACGAATGTTCTCTGAGCCAATGCCAGCTCAGATCAGAAGGTGAACAAGTCTGGTTCCTTGTTCAACTCCATTAATTTTGAATTAACTAATGAGACCAGTTCTCTCCCCAGACACCAAGATGGGAGTAGGGCACATGGACATGTACAAATCACACATCCAAGTCCAGAGGAAGTTGTGACTTCGCTGAGCTAACACACACACAGGAGGGAGCCAGAACCTGAGCTCAGGGTCCTTAAGTCTCCAGTGCTTCTCCCATGTCTGAGGCTGGACTTAGGTGCTCAAGGTTTAGCATAAAGAGCCATCATTATCAGTAACTTGCAAGCCAAGTTCTCAGGCATTTTTGATATGGTAAAACCTGAATATATATATTTTTGTATATATATATATAATTTCCCCCAAACAGGTTTCCTAGGTAATTCTAATGTCTCCAGGCATTTTTGATATGGTAAAATCTGAATATATATATATTTTTATATTTATTTATATATATATAATTTCCCCCAAACAGGTTTCCTAGGTAATTCTAATGTCTCCTCAAATTTGAAAACCATAAGCCAGTGCTATGCTCTAACAGCTGAGATTTCTTAGAAGTGGATTTTGGATAACACACGTGGCAGAGAAGCTTTGAAATGTAGTCTGGTTCGAACAGGCCAAACTTTGCTAACGTCACCAGGGGTGGCTGCTAGAGAGGCCAGCTTCCCGTTTACCACTTACTTCCCAGCTCTCTCGCTTTCCTCGTCTAGCTCTCCTTCATAAACACATGACGAATGAGTCAAAGCCAAGCTGCTGGGGGCGTTTTAGCTCTGGATACAAAACAGCATCACAGTTTAATTTCTTAAAAAATTCATTTTCTTTTACAAACGTACCTCTTCCTTGAAAAGATTCTGTCTGTTTTTGAGGGAGCGGAGCTTGTTTTGCTTGGCTTCATGCTGCATCTCCTCCTCTGG